CATCCGGTAAATAATATGAATGTGAGGCTAAAAGGAGAATCAAACAAGTTTTATATTTATCTTTTAAGAAATGTATTGTTAAATCTTTGCTATTTGCTATTACATTGTAGCTCTCATTGGACATGCTCTTGCAAGATGGGTTATTGAGGTCACTGATTAGTCCACACATTAACTTGTCACGATGAAGCTGAGTTTTTATAATAGGGTTTGGAAACAAAAACAAAAAAGAAGCAACGGCTGAGAAAATCAGAGAGAAATGATTCTATAATAAGAAAAGAATGAAGAGTGAAGATAAAGTTCATATAAAAAGTCAGAAAGAGAGAGATAAGAAGAAGAAAGATGCTGATTCATTCATAGTCATCAATATATCATCCAGTACAATACCAGAAATGGTTTGATCACATCATTCTTCTCGTTAATTACTGTTTTACTTAATTTACTAACATAATTTACTAAAACTGGTAAAAGAAAGGAGCTTCTGGAATCAGCTGAGTCACTGCATGCATGTGTCTTGACCAACGGACAAACTTCATCAGCACTTATCCTCAAACGACGTTGTCCGCTCCCAAATCAGGAAACCTAATTAAAGATCCGACCCACTTTCTTCCGGACTAACCAGACATTCGTGACAATGCCCTTCTCTGAGAACAGACTGGTCCTCAAGTCTTGAACTGAGGAAATTGCTTAGATATAAATGTGCTATCTTCCCACGATGAATCCTCCATTTGCAAATCCTTCCACTTGATTAACCATTGCACCACATTTTGGTCCCCTCTCTTGATGAATCTACGCTGCAAAATTTCTCAGGCACCAAAAGTCCTTCTTCCTCATCATTTAAGACTGGTGGTTCTGTTGGCACTACTGGTAGCTTCCCTGTATCTTTCTTCAATAATGATACGTGAATACTGGATGAATCTTGGATTGAGGTGGGAGCTGCAGTTTGTAAGCAACATTGCCAACTTTCTCAATGATCTTGAAAGGACCATAACACCTGGCAGACAACTTAAAACATAATCCAATAGCAAGAGATTTCTGTTTATATGGATGCAGTTTGAGGTAGACCCAATCTCCCACTTATAATGTCCTTTTACTTCTCTTTTGATCTGCAAAGAATTTAATCCTCAACTGTGCCTTCTCCAAGTTGTTCTTCAACAGCTGCATTATGTTCTGTTTCTGTTCCACCATGTCCTACACTGCTGGAATTACTATGGAAATGAGCTGATCCAAATGGCAACTGAGTTGGTTTCACTCCATATAATGTCTCATAAGGTGTCATATTACTGCTAGCATGAAATGAAGTGTTGTACCACCATTCAGCAAGTACCAGCCACTCTGACCACCTGTTTGGAGTTGAGCTGCAAAAACATCTCAAGTATGTCTCAACACATTGGTTTACTCTTTCAGTCTGGCCATCAGTCTGTGGGTGATAAGAAGTGCTCATGCAAAGCTTGACATCCATTGAGTTGAACAAATCTTGCCAGAAATGACTTGTGAAAATGCGGCCTCTATCACTGATGATTGCTTCTAGCATTCCATACAAACGAAAAATATCTTTGAAGAAGACATCAGCTATTTGTTTGGTTGTGAAAGGATGCCTAAGGGGAGTGAAATGGGCATATTTGGTGAGTTTGTCAACCACCACCATTACGGAATCATATCCATCAGTAGAAGGTGGAAGCTTTTCAATGAAGTCCATTAACAAGCTTTTCCAAGCTTGTTGTGGAATATCCAAAGGTTGTAATAACCCTGGATAAGACAGGTGCTTCCCTTTGTGAGTCTGACATACTCCACAATTTCCCACCCATTCCTCCACTTCTGTTTTCATGTTAGGTCAAATAAACCAAGACTTCAACCTCTGATAAGTAGTTGTTTGTCCTGAATGCCCTCCAAGCGCTGATGAATGGAAACTGTCTATCAACATTTGTCTCATTCCAGCTTTTCCTCCCACATAAATCTAGCCTTTGACCTTCAAAATTCCATTTACATATTGGACATCCTGATCATCAATCTTGTTGGCTACTACTTTCAGAATAAGTTCTTGTACTTCCTGGTCATCAGTGTAGCTACTCTCCAGTTGTTGCATCCAATCAGACTTGACTGACGATATAGCACTGACTGTTTGAGCCACTTCCACAGTTTGGTTCTTCCTAGAAAGGGCATCAGCTGCAATATTCTCCTTTCCTTTCTTATCTTGTATTTCATTATCCAGACCTAACAGTTTGGTTAACCACTTGTGCTGCATGGGAGTGGTCAGCTTCTACTCCAACAAATATTTCAATGCCTGGTGATTAGTCCTTATGATAAAGTGATGCCCCAACAGATAATGTCTCCATTTTTCAATTGCCATAACCAATGCTAACATCTTTTTCTCATAAGTTGATAATCCTTTGTTCTTCATACTGAAAGCCTTGTTGAGATAAGCTATTGGCTGACACTTCTGCATTAACACATCTCCCATTCCATCTTCACAAGCATCTATTTCAACTATAAAAGAAATCTCAAAGTTTGGCATCCTTAAAACATGAGCACTGCTCAGTGCTTTCTTTACTTTCTAAAAAGCCCTTGTTGAGTTTTCATCCCAATAGAATGAATCCTTCCCGAGTAGCATGGTTAAAGGTTTACAAATGATCCCAAGAATCCTCTCAACTCCTTAATTGTTTTAGGTTCAGGCCATTCCACAATTCTGTTAACCTTTTCAGGATCCATCTCCACACCTTTTTCAGATATTAGATATCCAAGATATTCCACTGATCTTTGTGCAAAGTTACATTTGGATTTCTTTGCAAAAAGCTGGTTTTCTCTCAGTGTTTGTAACACAATAGTCAAGTGATTCACATGATCTTCCAATGACACAGTATATACTAGTATATCATCAAAAAACACCAACACAAACTTTCTTAAATAAGGTTTAAAAACTTGGTTCATTAAAACTTAGAAAGTTGCAGGGGCATTTGTAAGTCCAAAGGGCATTACCAGGAACTCAAACTGACCATGGTAGGTTTAGAATGATGTTTTTGGAATATCCTTCTCCTTCATCCTTATTTGGTGGTATCCAACCCTGAGATCAATTTTTGAATAGAACTTAGCTCCCATCAATTTATCCAGCAGCTCCTCAATTACAGGAATTGGTTATTTACTCTTGATTATCAACTCATTGAGACGTTTGTAGTCTATGCACATCCTCCAGGATTCATCACTGGAGAGGCATAAGAGCTATTACTCACCATAGCAGTACCTTTTTCCAGTATTTTGTCCACTTGTTGCTCAATTTCAGCTTTATGAGCATGTGGATATCGATATGGTTTTAACTTGAAAGGAGCTGCATCAGGTTTTAGACAAATTTGATGATCTATAGGTCTCTTAGGAGGTAATTCAGTTGGTTCCTCAAAGAGATCCTGGAACTGTTCCAGTACTTGCATAATTTTCTCAGGTAGTTCTTCCACTTTAACAGCATATAAATACCCAACATCCATGTATTGATCTTCATTTCTTCTTGTATATCTCCTGATCTCTTCATAACTCCTCAACTCTTGCATATGCTTCCTTTTCATTTCTATCAATTCCTGTCATCACTTCTTCAATCCTCTTATGGAATTCATATCCCAATCCTTTCAATAGAAACCATTCCCCTCTTCTATGCAATTGGATTGTGAACTTATCATAGTCAAATTACACTGGACTAAGACGGGACATCCAATCTGTTCCTAAGATGATATCCCACTCTCCAAGGTCAATGACCTTCAAATCAAAACAAAAGTTGTATTGCTGCATTGACCACTTATTCTCAGGGCAATCACGATCACTTTTTATACGATATCCATCTGCCACTGTAACCACAAATGGTCTGATCCTCCTAGTTAACAACCTGAGCCTCTTAATCAGTTTAGCAGCCATGAAACTTTTTGAAGCTCGTGTGTCAATCAAGATCCTTACCATTTCTGCATTTACCACCCCCATGATCACAATCAACTTTTTGTCCTCTTCTTCCAAAGCCCAACAAGAATCCATCTGAGTAATGGTCTGCATTTGTTCCTCATGGAAGTCTATGATCTTTCCAGCATCTTCTGCTTCCTCTTGTATGGAATGAAGATCTCTACTGTCCTCATCTTCTTCCATAGTAATTAGATTTACTTGTTTCAGCTTGCAGATGTGACCAGGACACCATTTTTCTCCGCATTTCCAACACAAGTTGTTGTTTCTTTTTCCATAGTAAAGGCTTCATTACCATTTCTGGCAGTTCCAACTACATTAGGTCTCACCACATGAGGGTTTTTGGTTGGTGGTGTATATGCTTTAGTACTGGAAGCATTTCCCACCTTTAATTTAAGAGTGAAGTCTAGGGTTTGCTTCTGAACTGTGACAATCTCAAATGCTCTTTTGCAAAGAGACTGGTTCCAACAGTTTCACCATTGGCTTCAACTCCTCTTTCAACCCATTAATGAAACTGAATATGAAATATTCCTCAGTCAAATGGGGGTCTTTACACAGGACTAATGATTTAAACTCTTCAGATTTCTCATGATAATCCAGTACCGTTTCTTTCTGTTGCAACTTATTGAACTCCTCAATCTCATTTCTCCCCCCTTTTTCTCCAAATCTCTTCATTAATTCCCTTTCAAACTCGTCCCAAGATAACTTATTATGTTTCACCCTTTTTAACCCTTGATACCATGGATCTGTTTTTCCATCCAAGTACAATTCTATAGCATCTAGTTTTTTAGTGTCACTGACCTCATAGATACGAAAGAACTTCTCACATTTCCTCGACCATTCCCTTGGATTTTTTTCACAAAAATTCGGCTGTTCTAACTTAGAGAACACAAAGAGAAAGGGAAAAAAAAGGAGAAATCGAAAAAGAAAACTTTTGAAATTATATGGTTGGTTGAACCGTGAAATTTAGTTTATAAGGAAATTTTGTATCTTAATCTAATTTTGACGTGGTGAAGAATTTTACTTATATTTGAACTTTGATTTATGCATTATTTAGAAGTTTAAACACACAGAAACTTAAAAGAAAAATTAAAATTGAAAAAATATGGCCATAGAATAGGAGGACATATTGTAGTACTACTATTTTTGGTAGGACAGAATGGCCTATTGACTCTGGAGATCGTCAGACTAGCCTTTTTTGCGGTGCACTTTACGTCCTGCAATTGCGCGTGGAGCTAACGACTGATTACGCTCATTTCTCAAACTTTCAGGTACCCAATAGGAATTTATAGAAACAGTATCCACAAAAAAACCGCCAATTTTTCCTCGTCCAATTTCCAAACTTGACATAATCAAATTTACGGTTCGGATGAATGCCGCGTGGAAGAAGACCCCACAAAAGCTTATATCTTTTCCCTTAACGTGGGCACTTAAAAGAAAAGCCCGAATTCTTTCAAACTTGGGCTGTTTTCCTCTTCTTCTTCTTCTCCTCCTCCTTCACTGCGAGTGGTCCAAGGACAAGCCCATGTGGAGAGTCATGTCATCATGGGCCCACCCTCCATAGCCTCTCCTGAATAGTTTACTGGTTACATCCGATGGCTCTGCCTTCTGTATATAAAAAACTAGTATTTCATTTTGGAGAGAAAAAAAAAAAAGAATCCTCTTTCTTTATTAATAACTCCGGCCGGTGGTGTCATTCCGGCGGCCAAGTCATCTGTCAGAGCGTTCTCGCTACTTTCCAACCATTTATATATACCCCACCCTCCCCATCTAAGTATGGACCCCTAACCCTATATTATTTTCATTTTTTTCCCTCTCAAATCAAAACTCCAAAAAGGCAAAGAAAGAAGAGGGCAAAGTATTGTTTGGTGACAGCATTTGCATGTTGGCTAAGGATTGAGGGAAGACGTTTGTCTGTCCAGAAAGTTTTCAGAGGGAAAGAAAAAGGGTCACCTAATCTAGATTGTACAATTTGGTACAAAAAAAAACTGCCCTTTACCATTATCATAGACACAAAAACACTCCATAGTGGGACTACCCTTTTTGTTTCATTCCCAGTTTTTTTTATACTGAATTTTCTGGTGACTTTGGTTTCTGAATGATGATGAATACTGAGATGCTACACCGTTTAGACATGCCGGAGAATCATACCGGCATGGGGAGAATGAGCGTTTTAGAGCGGCAACAAGGTCGGATGAGGTGGCAAGAATTGCAGGCGCAGCAGCCACAGCTAACACAAGTTCAGCAAATGGAAGGATTTGGGGGTTATTTTAACTCAGCTGACCAGCTGAGTAATATGTTCTCGGCACCTGCTCAGCATTTCCATGGCGGATTGATGATTAATGATCAGAATTTGGGTGGGTTGTTGCTGAATCCGACTATGGGGCCTGATCCGTGTGTCCAGAGCAGTTCCTCCAATCAGTTTGGTAATGTTGGAGGAGACAATTTCGGGCTGCTTGGAGGTTGTGAACTTGGAAATGTTGCCGGGTTTGGGTTGAATTATGGAGTTGCAAGGACTGCTAGTTGCCCACCGGCAGTTGTAGCCGCAGTGGCTGAGGCGGCGTCAGCCGCCACTAAAAGGAAGGAGACCGCACCGCCGGAGAAGCTGGCCTCAACTACCGGAAGAGAGAGCTTCAAAAAGAGGAAGTCCGACAAGGCTCAAAATCAAAAGGTTCTATTTTCTTAGCTAATTAACCAGAGCACAGTAATGTGTCTCCCTTTTAGTGTTTTAGAGTTTGGAATAAGGATTTTAAAGTGTTTTTGCTATTACTGATTGGAAATGTTACCTTCAGGCAGCTTTAGAGGACCAAGGCAAAGACAATAAAGGGAAAGGATGCGTGGAAGAGGAAGAATCCAGGGTCACTGAACAGAGAAGCAAGGATACTACCACCAACAACAATAACAAAACAGAACCATCTGAGACATCCAAAGAGAATTCGAAGGTCTCTGAAGTTCAAAAACCAGACTACATTCATGTCCGAGCACGTCGTGGTCAAGCCACTGACAGCCACAGCTTGGCTGAAAGGGTGAGTTACATGAACAACATTCCTGGGCTAATTTAGATCTTCCGTATCATTATTATGCAACGTTTCCTCGTGGATTTTAAGAACTGATAATATGAGTTATATGGCTTGTCAGGCCTCCTCTGTTCACTCTGTTATTCATGTTACATGAAAGAAGATGATACCGATACTCATTATCTATATATTTGAAACGATGCAGGTAAGAAGGGAAAAGATAAGCGAGAGGATGAAATACCTGCAAGATTTAGTACCAGGATGCAATAAGATCACTGGGAAAGCAGGAATGCTTGATGAGATAATCAACTACGTTCAGTCACTTCAAAGACAAGTTGAGGTCTGTCAAACATCAATTTTTGATAATCATACAATATATGCATTGCATGTTTGTCTGTTCTAATCAGGGGGCATTATTTTCCTGATAACAGTTTCTGTCCATGAAACTCGCCACTGTAAATCCAAGACTTGATCTAGATATTGACAATCTTTTCTCAAAAGAGGTATTACTTACATTACAAGCGTAAAACTTGTTAGCCTGATAAGAGGAATGCTTCTTGTTTTGAAACTCTTCACTAAAACAAGTCCTATTTTGGTTCTCTTGGCAGATTTTTCCAGTTAGCACTTCTGGAGCTGCCCATGTAATTGAAGTATCATCAGAGATGAACAATCCCGCGAACTATAATTTTGCTTCACTAGAACAAGTAGTGCAATGTTGCGGAGTGGAAACTGATAAAAATCTCCCCGACATGGCACTTAGACGAACTACAAGTGCCCCTGTTTCTTTACCTGAAACGTTAATAGACTCGCCCTATCTCAGTGTAATCTTCTCCCCCTGTTTCTAGGCCTATGATCTTTGTTATGCATTAGCACTTTCTGGGAATTCTTACAATGACTAACATGGATTGAGGAATCACAGAGTGATGTACATATGATAATAATTCAGCTATGTTCAGTCACTTAGAAAACTCAATCAAAGGATTGCTTGTTATATTACAAAAACACTGAATTATTGTTTGACTCTGAATTCTCATTAAATTCATTTGTGAAACAGCAAATGCACCACTATCCAGTTTGGGATGCAGAGTTACAAAGCCTCTATCCTTTGGAGTTTCAACAAGGACGATCATCAACATCTTTACTGTCTCAGCCATGTACAGGTGTGTGAAATACTAAGTTACAGCACTTATCATGATTTACTTAAGGAAAGTGAAAGTTCTTAGTGACGATGGCACCAGTTACTTTGCAACTTTCACTCTCGCGATTAGCGATATGATTGCCACACCTCAGTCACGGAACTTTTTTCACGCTGAATAACATTACTACTCTCTTAGCATGTGAAATTAAATAACCGGGACTTTACTCCTTGCAGGTTTTGATGGGGGAAGCAATGTAAAGGTAGAGATGTGAATCAGAAAAGATGACGGAATGCCCGTTATGAGTCGAATCACTGATCCTGATTCGTTCCCTCAATTTTAAGTACATAAAGTAAATATTGTATGCCTGCCAGCTAAAGTATAATCATAATTACAATATAAGTGCCATGCTGCAACCTGGGCATGTTAGATTATAGTTATCAGTACTTCTGGAGAGCTACATCAAAATACCAAATAATTAGATTATTCTAATAAGCATTGAGACAAAATAGTAGATTGAGAGCCTATGTGGACATAATCTCATTTTGTATCTAATTTATGCAATTTTTTTGGCTTCTCAAGAACTTATTTCATTCTCAAAACCTTCTTTTATATTCTTTAGTGCAACTTCTTATATAGCAAATGCAATCATCTATCGTCTACGCAAAAACACAGAACTCAAAATGCTGGCATGCTTGATGTAACTCAGAATCACCACTGGCTGGTAAAGATTAACCATTAATCCCACAATTCGTTTTCAACAGAAAAAGAATTGGTTCTCTTGTTGATACAAATCAGGTCATACTCATGAAGTTGCACAAGTTGTTGATTGTCTAATATACACACTGAATAGCAGTTGTTATCAATTGACAAAACCATAAAAGGGCAGAAGAAAGAGTCAAGCAGACAAGCAAGAAAGCACGATGGATTCTTTTTAGGGACAGAATGAGACATCTTGACTAAGACTCAGACACCAAGACATTTATTTTTGGTAGTAGAAATCAGGAATGCAATAAGCAAGTGGCGTTGAGCTTTCGTATTGATTCTGGAGGGAGACAAACATATCCAGAACTTCTAATTGTTCATTTAAATAGTTATCATTCCTGCTGTGTGATAGCGATCATCTAGCTTATCAGCACTGCAGCAGAGAACGGTTTTCATTTTCACAATGAAATCTCCTTTCAAGCAAAAAATATCAGTGCCACATAAAACTTCACAGCAGAATGAAACCAAAAAGCTCATGTATGCAGGATGCACCTACTTAGATTCACAACCTAATTTTACAAAATGAGCGCTCAGTCTCAATTTCTCATAGCAGAGTGTCCTCGCTGTCGTGTAAAAGCAGATAAAAGGATTCAAGTCTGCGCCTAAAACATCATATGGAAACCTGAGTCCATACCGAACAAATCATAGCGACCAACAAGTTTTGGTAGTTTTTAGATTTCATTGCCTTAATTGACATTTACAACAGTTTGGTAATGAGCAAAGCTTCCAAAGCGTTAGGCGAGTTCCTTTATACGAGAAGATGAAACCGAGGGAGGTCATTAACGAAAGTTTTGAACGTTGATCTTTGGGGGATTCTGGAGAAAAGAAGGTTCCAGTCCATTGTTTAATTCTTGAAAAGGAATAGACTGAACAGAGGAAACACAAGCAACAGAAAATTAAGGAAAACCACAACTTTGCAGGGCCTTCGAGTGTTACAGTTCAGCAGATTGTATAGTCATGAAGAAAAGCAGTTGAAACACTTGGATCAATGGAACCAAAACACCAATAACATACTAGCAAACATCTTAATCATCAACTATATACAACAGAAACTGCTCATAATGAGATCAGGAACATAAATTACCTTAAAAAATTGACGCCTTGAAGGCTAACCAACTGATCACACACATAAGAATTACTAAAAAACTATGCAGTGAAAGCTGTCTTCAAGAAAGCAGCTTCTCTTGCTATTTACTAAGACACCAGCATGCACCAATGGAGAATCCTAGCACCATCAAACCACAGTATCATTCCCAACCTCTGCATTTTAATTACAGATATCACTTGATGGCATTCAACTGACTTAAGCAAGAGTATCTATTGTATCCCGAGTACTGATAACAACTACAGAAGGGTTAGACACATTACCTTTACCGGGTACAATAATAATGGGCGCTATTTTGCAGTTGTGAAAGCAGAATTCGCTCACGCTTCCCTGCAATACACTGGTCAAAATACCCAGCAAAGTCATTTTAGGCCTTGCATAAATTGCACTTTGAAAATGAGTTCTAGGAACAACATCGTTTAGTAGAATAGCAAACCACGAAAGAACAGACCTTTGAATTATGCCTCTGCCCCTGGTACCCATAACAACAGCAGCAGGTTTCAGCCTTTCTGCTTCCCTAACAATTGCCTTACCCGCATCTCCTTCCACAATTCTTGCAAAAGTTTTCACCTATGGCAATACTAACTTCATCATTTTGAATTCACAGAAGCTAACTAGAAAGTAACAAGTAAATCTAGAGGGACGAAATCACAGACCATTGCGACCTGATAAGCCTCCACGGAAAGTTTCTCCATAAGGGCCTGGGTCATCTCGTAAACAATCTGGTTCTGGACGCCTAACCAAATAAAATTTTTTAAGAAAATCACGAAAACCATGTTCTAATGCAATCAAAGTTAGAACTTTAAAGGGAAGAATTAAGGGCTTACTGGAGACGGCGTGAACTAGATGAATGGTGTCGGCGAGGCGGCAGAAATGGGCAATTGCCCAATCAAAGGCGTGCTTGCTGTTAGGCCCATGATCCACTGCGATCAAAATGTCACGACCCCTTCGTCTTTCACAATTCTCCCTCTCCAATTCTGCTGGCTCCTGGACTAATGGTATCAGCGCCGGCAGCTTAACTTCTCTCCAGTTGTATTCTTCTTCCTCCATTAACGTCTCCATCTCTCTGTTTTTCGTTAACTTTTCTTTCTAGAAACCCTTCTCGTTTTCTTTTTCCACTTAATTCTTCTTCCTTGGTTGGATGATAAGATATTTGTTGTGTCAAATAGTATCTGGAATGTGGAAATGGAATGAATGAAGTTTATTTAATAGGAAGAAAAAAAGTGAGCCAAAACTTTGGAAGACCAAGGGAAGACGGAATGGGGGGTTGTGGGGATAAAGTTTGACGACTGAGCTCAGCAGATGCAGCAGCCACGCCGGCATTTTTTGCTATTGCGTGTTGAATGAAATTGTGGATCATGTGGGAAATGTTCATAGGTTGGAAAATTAGAATGGTGGCGCGGCGGCGCTTGGCTGTTACTATGAAGTTCTTCTAGAAATTTAAGGTTTGTTGGATTAAAACTCGAATTTATTTGGTTTAAAAATTTTGTCTATCTGGGGTCTTCTTCATGGGATTAGTCATTAGTCAAGCAACTAAAAGAACTAGTTCCCCAATTCCCCCAGAACAAAACCTGTTGTTAGAGAGAAATAGCATTACAACTATGATTCACATGATCCACCCAAATTGTAGTTGTACTCCCTTCATTTTCTTTTATATGTCTTTTTAGAGAATTCATCAAAATCAAAAAAATATTAAATAATATAGTTAAACCACAAAAATATCCTTATTTATTTTCTACATAATTTATCACAAACCAATAAAACTTCGTTATAAATATTATTTCATTCCCATTACAGAGGTAACATTAATAAAAAGTGGTCAATTATGCCTCGATTTATGAAAACGACATATATTTAAAAAAATTCACCAAACCCTAAAACGATATATATTTCAAAATAAAGGAATACTTTTTTTTCAGGTTTACAAATTACAACAGCGCGCGGTCAGATTGCATTTCAAGCAAGTTAAACAGATACTACTCCAAAGAAGGATGAATGCGTCATAGAAGGGCATTTGTTTCATAAACTTACACCAACTTATTAGAAACTTCCGATCTATTACTTTCACCGTTTCAAAATTATTATCTAATTTCAAGTTTCAGTTTTAATACAAATTAAACTAAAAGTAAAAAATCTAAACTATACAATAATTACATGTTTGATACATTGATCTGGAACCTAGAGCCTCCGTTAATATACTTGAACATTTGTAGATCCATCGAAAAGTCTTCATAAATCATAACCCACAATCAGAGGTGGCTCAACGCACCTTGAGCCTCAAGCTAAATTTTAATTTGAGGCCCTTAATTAATCGGACTTAAATAAATAAATTTTTTTATTAATATACTTTACAATATCGATATAAAAAATTTTATAAGATAACTAAAATACAAAAACTTTGCATGTAAAAATGTTTGTGTTAGTATATATTTTTTATTACTTTTTCAATAATTATTATAAAATAGTTCAAAAATTAATTATAATAAATAAAATTTTAAAAAATTAAGGCCCTAAATAACATGAGACCTAAAGCTAGGGCCTCCCTCTAAAACATTGTGGGCCACAATGATTTATCTCCTTGTGTGAGGAAAGAGAAAAGTTAGGTCTTCATAACCCAAAATGTTCTTTTCCTGGTTTGCGGAAAGAAAAAAATCCAAAAAGTTTAACTTGGATTGGAGGAGGTAAAATGCATCACTTTCACTTCTAAAATCTTTTGACTTTTGGTCACCATTGACGCAATTTGCACAAGTATTATACTATAGGGACAATGGTGTGAATACACGCGCTCAGGAGTGACAAATTATATCATGGATCATGATCCATATCATGGTATTTTACTTTTTTTTTTTGTAATTATCTTGAATATTATCTCTCCTAATAAAGTATCCTCTCTCTTTATAATCGTTTAAATTTTAAATCATATTCAGCGATTAACTGAATTTCAACAATTATACTATGAAAATAAAGTTTCTGGACAAGGTATATTAGCCTAGAGAGACAATTATTGGTAGGATTGTTACTTACACGGGTCAACCCGAATAACCGCCTGGACCGCACTCCAAATTGATGAAGCGGTTCGGATAATACGGGTGCACCCGGTAACCTAATGTCAATAATCGGTTCAGATGTGGGTGGGGGAAATATGTTTCGGGCACCACCCGAAACCCGATTGTTGCTACTATTATTTTTTTTTTTGAAAAATATAAATAGGAAAGTAGGGTTTTGCTATTATTTCTCTCTTCCTCCTTTTTTTTTTCGGGGGCTGCTGCGTGAATGCGGCGACGCCAATGCCTCCTTCCGCCACAATCCGACGAATCCACCGTTCCTTCACTTTATTTCGCCGGTCATCTCCCTTAAACAATTCGGCTGACCATCAATCTCCTCCAAACGAACCAAATCAATCTTAAATCCCTTTCAGATCTGGTTCTCCGATTTTTGAAAGTAAACTCCGGCCACTCCCTCATTCCTCACATGCGTCTCCTCCACTCCTCTAGTCAACTAGATCTGGTCTTTCATTCTGATTTCCGAAGGTTATTGAACATTCCCGATCTGGTCCTCCGATTTCCCTCATTCTGATTTCTAGATCTAGTCCTCTTGAAAGCCACCAGAGTCCTCCGGTCTGAAGGTCCCGGCGACTGACAACACCACTTAAACGATAAGAAAATATTTTCAATCTGTTTCTGTTCCTCTTTTTTTCTTGTTCTATTTTGCATGCTCCAAGTCAAAATATTTGTTCTGTTCTCTGTCTTCTTTGTTTGGTCTTCAGTCTTCTACGATCATTAAAGTTTTTTGGATTTTCTTTCTCATGTTTCTTCCCTTTTGATAATCTGAAACTGAAATGGTCAAATGGATTTGCTTTTCAGTTCCCCTTTTTTCCATTTATTTCCAGCTGATTCATGTGCTTGAGCTTGACTGAGTGCTTTGCTTGAAACTTGTTGTTGTTGGTGGCTGGCTGTGGTAGACTGTATCACTGTTCAGATTAGTTTTTTTTGTTGCGTGTATTGTTTGTTGCATGGTTTTTGTAATTACTGGGTCTTTTTTTGGTCGGAGTTCTCTGGCTGTAGTCATCACTAGGTCTGGTTTTAAGGTTTTTTATTAGTTTCCTTTACTTTTTTAGCTTTTTTTTTTCATTAGAGTTTCATTAGAGGTTGAACTGACTACTGCTCACTGGGGGTTGTGTGATGTGTACTCTGTAATTTTATTTATAAACTGTCACTGTTAACTGTGATCTGTAAACTAATTTTTTTATTTTTTCTGTTTTTTAGATGTCTCAAGTTCCTAATAACATTGATGACATTGAGGAGATTGAGAATCAGGAGTTTCAGGACCTTCTGAATATGCCTCTGCCTGATATTCCCGAGGACGATGAACCTGTCATGATCAATGTTCAAGTTGAAACGACGGGACCAGTTGAAGCTGCTGCTGTTTGTAAGCCTCCAGGAAAATGTAGGGTAAATCGAAAGAAGTCTATGGTATGGCCCCATTTCTCTTCTTTTAATGATGCAAAAGGTGACGAATAGGCTGCATGTAATTACTGTGGTGCTAAGTATAGGTCTGAAAGTAGAAAACATGGTACAAGTAACCTTCGTGGTCATTTGCTAGTTTGTAAGAAGTATTTGTCTTTGAGCCATGATCGTAGTCAAAGTAAGTTAATTGTTGAAAGTGCTAATGAAGGAAAACATGCTAATATAACCAGCTGGAAGTATAATGAAGAAGAAATCACAAGGGCATTCATTTATATGATCATTGTAGATGAGCTTCCATTTATGTTTGTTCAGAAAAAAGGGTTTAGGTATTTTCTGCGGAAGTTGCAACCTTTGTTTGTTCTCAAGTGTAGACAGACTGTAGCTGCTGATTGTTATAAGTTGTATTTGGCTGAAAAGGAAAAACTGAAACTTGAAATCAAGGGGAATGTTAGTAGAATCTGTTTGACCACCGATTCTTGGACTTCTTTGCAAAAGATTAACTATATGTGTCTTACTGCCCATTATATTGATAATAGTTGGAATCTGAAAAAGAAAATCTTGAGCTTCTGCCTTATTTCCAGTCATAGAGGTTTTGATATTGGGACGTCAATTGAGGATTGTTTGTTGGATTGGGAAATTGAAAATGTTTTTACTGTCTCTGTTGACAATGCAAGTGCTAATGATGCTGCTATGGAATATTTGAAAGAACAATTTGGTCATCGTGAAAAATGTCTTTTTGGTGTAAAATGGTTGCATATTCGTTGTATGACTCATATAATGAATCTTATTGTTAAGGATGGTTTGAGTCATATTGGTAAATCTGTTGAAAGGATTAGAGCTGCAATAAAATATATTAGGCATTCCCCTCAAATAATTGTAAAGTTTAGGAAATGTGCTGAAATAGAAAAGTGTAATAGCTCTAAGAATCTGATTCTAGATGTTTGTACAAGGTGAAATTCCACATATTTAATGTTGGAAACTGCCCAAGCTTATGAAAGAGCATTTAAGATGTATGAATTAGGTGAACCACACTATAGGGACACTCTGAAACATGTTCCTGAGGATCCAAAAAATTCAGGGTCAGGGCTGCCTACGGCATTGGACTGGTTAGAAGCGAGAAGAGTGGATGGTCTTCTCCAACATTTTTACGAGATTACGTTAAAGGTATCTCGTACCAAATCTGTTTCTTTGGATTCCTTTTTTGATAATGTTACTTGCATTGAAGTGTTGTTGAAGAAAACCATTAATGAAACTGTAGATCCTGAACAACATGCTATGGCTTTAATGATGAAATCCAAATTTGATAAGTACTATGGTAGCATTGAAAAGAATGAAAAGATGAATGTTGTTCTTTACATAGCATCTGTTTTAGATCCAAGAAATAAGTTTGAGTACATGGAAATTGTGCTAGAAAGATTGTATGGAGAAGTTGATGGGAAAACGAAGCTGGATTTTGTTAAAAGTTCTTTGAGAGAGTTGTATGCGGAATATGTTAGAATTCATGTCTCTGATTCTAGATTTATTTCATCTTCCTCTACTGTTGGGAGTAGTTCTTCTCAATCTGCTGCATTGGGGAAAAGATCTTCTCCGATAGACATTAAACCTTCAAAGATGTTTAGGGATCAATTTAGAGCAGAGTTGTTGAAGAGGAAAAATTTGGAAAGCGGTGGAAATATTGAAAACTCAGATTTAGAGAAGTATTTGAGGGAGACAACTGAATCTGATTGTCCCACATTTGATTTGCTGACCTGGTGGAAGGATAACAGTCCAAAGTTTCCGATCTTTTCTTTGATAGCTCGTGATATTTTAGCAGTCCCTATTTCTATTGTGGCGTCCGAATCTGTTTTTAGCACGAGTGGGAGGGTTTTGGATGCTTTTAGAAGCTCTTTAACTCCAAAGACTGTTCAAGGCTTAATATGCGCCCAAGATTGGCTTAGGGAGGCTGTGGAAGCAGAAGATGTTGAAGAAAAATGAAAAGATCTCATAAAAATTGAAGAAGGTATTTGCATTACTAAATGGCATTTCTGATTTTCAGCATTTACATTTTGATGGCTTCAGCTAATTAACTTCATTTCTGGATCTTTTTTCTTGTGCTGAAAAAGGAGAACCAAATCTGGACTGAGGATGTGGCCTGAATTTCTTAGTTTTTGCAGACTGAAACAAGTATTTATCAAACTGAATTTCTTAATTTGCAGTCTGATATTATGAGTTTGTGTCTTTGTGATTTTGTGGCCTGAATTTGAACACTTATACTTTGTGTTTTTAATTTGCATTTCTTAGATTGCCAAGGTGAAGATTTCAGTTCAACTGTGAACTGTGATTCTGTGAAAACAAGACTGATTCTGTGAACTGTGACTCTGTTTGTTCTTCATTTTCTATTTTTAAGTTGTTGGGACTGTGGACTTGTAATAAACTTTTTAAATTTGTTGTAAACTTGTAATGTTATGGCCTGTTAGTGTCACCTGTGGGTTGTGGATGTTGGCGTTGTTGCCTGTTACTCGTTTAGTTCATTTGTTGAATGACTGAATGTTGGAATGAGACCATTTGTCATTTGTTGTATATGTTTATGTTTGCAGTTTACTGGAAGTCTGGAATGATGTTTAAGTTTGCATTTTCCAGTTTGTGAAATCAGAAATCAGAAATGTTAAGTTGGTCCCTGATTCGGTTAAACCGAAACCGAACCGCTAAAACCGATTGCTAATTCGGTCGATTCGGATCGATTTAATAGTATCTGTGGTTTGGTTTCGGGTAGATCATTAGATTGAAAAAAACTGATTCACCCGAACCGAATTCACCAGATCCGACCGAACCCGCCCGATCTGACAGCCCTAATTATTAGTGGGTCTAACTATCAAAGCTACCCAGCAAATGGCAATTTTAGGGCTTGTTTGGCCAACATTTTGTTTTTGTTTTAGTTTTTGATACATTTTGTTTCTGTTTTAGTTTTTGATTTGGTTTTGAGATGTGATTTGAAATGTGTTTCAAAAGAAAATTTAAAAATTTATTTGGTAATATTTTAAATAAAATAATAATATTTTTAAATCACCATCGAACCACCGACGCCGCCGCCGGACCACCCACCGCCGCCTAGCGGTGGTACGATGATAGTATAAAAAAATAGTGTAAAAATAATGTTTGAAATAAATTTTAAAAAGTAAATTAAAAAATTGTTTAATAGTATTAGGTTTTTTTTTTTGAGATGTTTTAAGAGAAAAATGAGACAAAATGGTCAAGTGAGACTTGGCCAAACAAGCCTACTCTTTAATTGATTAGTCAAAAGAAAGGCAAAATGGAGTTAATAAAAGTTTTCTTTTGTGCATCAGTTTCTTATCTAGTACTTTCTTCAATTTAAACCTTGGAATCTTCTGCTGTTTATTACAGTTCACTTCATCCAGTCAGTACAATGACTAAGAAAATCAGCAAAACTAAATCGTTCGCGTTTAGATTAACCAGTCAGTAGCTTCTTCCCAGTCTTTTATGGCAAATTCAGGGATTCCCATTCTGTACAATTATATACGATTATTAGCACAATCAAATCTGGAAGCTATTCATGATTCAATCCCAAAACTAATTGACACTCATGGATACAGCAGGAAAACAGACCCATAACACGAGAAAATCTGAAGCCCAGAAAAGAAAATTGCTGGGAATCCCAATCTGAACAACCACTAAAAAAAATAAAATAAAATTGCGAGAACCAAATAAGAAAACAAAGAAAATGGAAGAGAAGGCGCTCAGTCAGTTTAAGAATGGATTGGATGGTTTTTCCTCAGTTAACATCAGATTAACGAGATATATACCATAACATCACCGCGCCTTCTCTTCTAATCAACCAACAAACATAGTTCTTCCCTGCCCCAAAAAAAGTGAGTATGAATCGGAGAATCAACAAGGGGATATCGATTCTGAACAATTGCGGCACCGACGATGCGTTTTTGTAGGGTTTTGTGTTGCTACAGGTATTTATAGTGCGGAGCAACCAAATTGGGGGTTGAGATTTTGAGATGGGGAGAACACAATACTTGTGGAATTACATCTTAGCCCTTGTATGTATGATTATTATTAACTCTACCCCAATTCAATAATAAATTGAATTTTCAACTCTGCTCGTGTAATTAAAGGGCGTGTTTAGTCCGCCTTTTTATTTTTTTTGCATTTTACTCCCTCCATGCACACATACAATTTTTTTTTTTTTTAAAAAAAATTAGTTGCGTCCACTTTTTCGTTCATTTAGCAAAACTGAAAAAAAAAGTCAACCGAAAACTAAAATCTTTTACTCCCTCCGTCCTGAAAAAATAATCCACATTGAGTTTTAAGTTTTGTATTGATTTTAGTACAAATTTCAAAATTCAATGTGGATTTTTTTTGGGACGGAAGTAATATTCTTTATGATTTAAAAAAATATAACAAATTATTATGATTTAGGATAAGAACAATTATAATTTACATTAGAACAAGATAGTAGTTCGTGTAAAGATAAAACACTAAGTTCATAACTATCAACTAATCAACATAATAAGAATGTTTAAGTTAATACATACGTACCACATCAACTACTATATTATTTTACTATTCCTTTTTGTAATAAATATATTAATACATAGATGTCCATAAAGGTAGGAGAATTATATTAAGATTTCATGTATAGAAATAATATTCCATTAGAACTCATATTCGTTGATCTTATCTCTGTATTTACTTGTCTATAAATAGATATCATTCTCTATTGAATAAGATTCACCTGAATCCTCTTTCTCTCTCTTTCATAATTTCATTTCTTAGTTTATATTTATTTTATAATACGTTATCAGCACAAAATTCTAACTAAAGAGTTTTATAATACCACTACTTGAAATTGGTGTGTATTAATACTGAAAGTTTGAAGTTTTCAGTAAATATTTAGTTTTTTGATTTAAAACTTTTCCGGAGCTTTGTTTATCTCCGACGACTGCGAGGTGAAATCATTTTTTTTTTGGTTGTTCAGATTACAACGTTAATGATTATGTTATGCCGACATTATGATTTATGAGGTTGAAATTATTTTATGCCGAATT